CTAGGTTGAGCTCATGTGCATAGCAGTGTATATAGGATGAAGCCTTCTAAAACCTGCCTGCACGCCTCCTATGGGTCCACTTATGACCGCGGCACCATCATAAGTCTGTGCCACACACTTAACATGAGCAAAGCCACTGATCTGGAGCTGCTCCTGTAGCTTGTCTGCAATGGACTGGGCATCAAAGGACATCAGTTCAGAAAGTGCTAGAAACCGTTCCTTTACCTCCCCCTCTGACACATACCTAACACAAACAGCCAGCTGCTCTGACCGACCATCTCTTGCCTCATCCGCCATAATGGAATACTTTTTGGAGCGTGTGATCTCAGACACAATGGCACTGGTCACTTCCTGAGCACAACACTCAATCATCTCATTCTGAGACACTGGTGAGGTGTACGTGGCATTTGATGGAGGATTGTGATTTTGAAGGAATGGATCAAATGTCATCAAAAGCTCCATGCAAGCCAGAAAGTTGCATCTGTTTGTGCTCTCTGCACTTTCATCATGCCCACGAAAGGGTAGTCCCTGGGCCCCTAACATTGAGGTGACTGCAACAATTTGCTTCAGATGTCTTTTGTGTCTATGCTGTGTTGTCTCTTAACATGCATTTAATGCTGATAGTGTGACATTTCTGACACTGACACAGGCAACAAAATTAAACGAACTCAGATGCCTGTTGCAAAGCCCAGTTCAGCGACCATAACAGTTTGTAACTTCTCATACGGTATGTGACATAGCCTATGCATAGTCTTTAACTCGTTACATTATGGCGCAGCCAAAACACAGTGTTCTCTGTGGATCTATTGACCTCAGTCGAGACCTCCTCAGCATCAGCTTTGTGTGTCTCCTCCCGCTCCTCACTCACTCTCTTAAAAAATCTTCTTATATCCATCTAGCTGCTAGCCAACGTCACTCGCAATGCTGTGCGACAGCCTCCAACTTGGTCCGGCAAAGCAACATGCCCGCGGTGCCAATCACGTGACACTAGTGTAGCCAATGAGGTATGGGAATCATAACGATATTAATTTTATTTAATTAATACAAACTAAAACGTGTATTTATCAGTTAAATATCAGTTTAACTCGTTTTTTGTTGATTCGTGTTCAGTGTATCCCTGCGCTTGTTTTAAATAAAATTCCAAAATATTCCAAAAATTATAGGGTGGCTGAGGACTATTTTAGGGGGGCTTCAGCCCCCCTAAAATGGGTCTAACAATGCCACTGGTCATCATTATACCGACGGTATAGGTCTAAACTCAAGTGGGCGTTGTCTGAGCCAGTTTAGTTCGTGGTGACATTGAAAAGCATTGGCATATGGAGGGCCAAGTGGGGAGCCCATTGCTACCCCGTCTGTTTGGGTGTATAGATGATTGTCATATGAAAATACAGAGTGGTGGGCTGCAATAGTAAGTAATTTTTTGAAGCTTTCTTTTGTTAAACCAAAGTTGTCAAGATGGGTGGTTTTTATGCTGTTAGTTATAATATCAGTGGTTTCTAGAAAGGGACGTTGGTGAACAGCGATTCCACGTCAAAACTTGCCATAGTGACGGGTTGTTTGGGGTCAAGGGATGTGATTTCATTAGCAAAGGCTGTGGAATTCTCAATGGTATACTGATTGGTAGTTAAAAGAGACAAAATGCGAACCAGAAATTTAGCAGTGTTATAATGGAAGGTGCCAATAGATGAAATAATGGGTCTAAGTGGAAAATTAGGTTTGTGTACTTCGGGGAGACCATACAATAATCCGGGTTGGGAACCAGAAATAGATAATAAACTATAGGTGTTTTAAATTTGGTATGGTCATTTAGGATGTTAAGCATTTTTTGGTGATAGTCATGTTTGTTTAAGATTACATTTCCACGACCCTTGTCTGATTTGGTGATTATTATAGTCTCATCATTCTTGAGCGTTTGTAGGGGTGACGTGAAAACTTCTACAGCATTAGTTTTAGTTTGACGAGAGAATTTCTTAAAAGTGTTATTAGCTATGGTTGTTATATTATTGGTGACATTGCTGAGAGTGTTATTGTAAATATCAGAGCTTTTTAGAACAATGCATAGCTTTTCAAAATATAAATAAAGTTTATGAAAGGAAATCATATTGGGAGGCATACAATAATCCAGTCCATGAGAAAGAACATCTTTTTGTTCCTCGGTAAGGATTAAAAAAAAAAAAATAATAAAAAAAATACAGATTTCAATAATACTAAATTCTAAATTGTTTTGGTGATTACAATGTTTTTTTTTCTTTTGACTGGTGATTTCTCTGTGTAGAAGAACGAAACACCAGGAGCGATATGTTAGAGTGCTCTCAAAAGCGAAACACGAAAGTTGAGGAATTTGGGAATTACATTATCATTTCTGCAATGGTTCAGGAACTTGATGTCTTTCTGCAGTTTTTGGAGGGGTAGGAGAGTTTCTCAGTCCTTTTAAAGATATCCAATGCCGTCTTGCCATTTTTGATATAGGTCGTTATAGGTTTTCCACATAGGCGTCGAA